GAATCCCCCCCCCCCCCCTTCACCCACCTTTTTCCAGTAAAATCTATTGTCGTTCCACCAACCTAAATCATCCAAAAAGTCAACAAACATTTATTTCAAAGTATTTCACATAAATGCCTTTGGTATTAAAGCAACCTAATTTCTTCTCAATTCATCTATCAGCTGCAATCTACTAACTAGGTGTACTATAGAAGAAAGAATAGAAATGGAAAAGAAAGAAGAAGAGAAGGGGGGGTTGATGGCAACGAATAATGAATAGAGGTACTGGTAAAAAGGAATTGAGGGAGGTTGGGACGAGAAAGGTGGGTAGAGACTAGCAAATAAAAGAAAAAATTATTGAATGGGGAAGAGAAAGGGGGAAAAGAAATGGGAAAGGGGAGGGAAGATAGGATAGAAAATGAAAAAAAAATTGCAGGATGGAGATGGGAGTTCGCTTGGGAAGATGAGAGAGGTGGGAGGGAAGGGGAAAAGAGAAAGGTCTTTTTTTCTTTTGCTTTTTTTTTTCTTATTTATATTTTATTTTATTTCTAATATCTTTTTAATAAAAATAAAACTATTCACGCGCCTTGACAGCGTGATTTGCGCACAATTTAGCTATGTTAGTTGTGCCACTTCCACATAGTATTGGTCAATGGTCAAATGTGTTTATTAATATTCATTTCGTCAAGGTGAAGTGTTCAAATGGGAAAAATATAAGTTCACGTATCGGCTTTACAAACCGGTACAAGTTTAAGTGGCCAGGAAGCCATTACGCCTATTTTTAATGTACATATGTTAGACGTGTGTGTCGCATCAAAACGCAAGCATGGAAAAAAGCACGGAAAAATTATACAGTCATACCTCTCTATAACAACATCGTTTCCAAATTTTTTTGGCTTTTATAGTGAATGGTTGTTATACACCTATAACAGCATTTAATATTTAAATATATTTTGGTTGTTATAGACAAAAATTAACCAAAAACTATTTTTTTAATATTATATATAAAAGATTAATAAAATATTTAAATTCAAAATCTCAAAAGATATAAATATTTCACGAATTAAATGCTAAAGAAATCTAATACATCATTAAAAAAATTCTTAACTAACGCACCAATATTTAATCTCTAAGGCACACAATTAAAAAATATGAATAGATTGCATTTACATACTATTGATAACTGTCCAATATAAGATATATCATGTGTACATCTTCAAATAAAAAAAAATGATGTGCATATCTTCAAAAAGTATAAATGGATCTTTTAAGTATTTTTTCACATTTTTCTAATGCAAGATATGTAATTTGTAGATCTTTAGTTATAAATTGTACATTAAAGTTATAAAATATTTGCTTAAATATTTAGAATTATCCTTAGTAATTATCTTAGAAAATTTGCGTGGCTGTTATAGAGGGGTAATTTTTCAAAGAGCGTACTGTCATAAGGATGATTGTTGCTATTATAGGCAAAATGCTATTATAGAGAGGCAAAATATAACATAAAAAATCAGTTCTGAGAAAAACTAAACTTTTATAATGAATGACTGTTATATAGAGATGTTGCTATAGAGTGTTCTGACGGTAGAAAAAATAGCTTCAATAAAGGTTGAAGCGCAAAGCCAGGTATTTTCCTATTAATGCGTCTAAACTTTTTAAAAATGACATAAAGATTTTATTTGAGTTCAAAAGAAATTAAATTTACTTTCTGTTAACAATTGTTGCAGGAAGGTGTTGAGCTAATTAGGGGTCTTAATGGTTCGGTTCGGCCAGTTATTTTATAAAATTTTTATCATACTAATTTTTCGGTTATTCTATTATGTATAACCAAAATTAGACTTTTCGAAACCGTTCCAATCATGTCGGTTTCTCTTCGGTATCGGTTCGGTTCGGTTCGGTAAATGTTCGGTAATTTTTTAAAATGTCATGCAAAAATCACTGCTAGAAGTAGAATGCAATAACATACGTACTTTAATAGGACTTAGCAAAACTCTCTAGATATTTTTACAGTTTAAAAGGTGATAAATTAAGAAAATATCAAAGATGGCTAGAGTATAGATTCATCAACTATTCTACATCAGTGTAAAAGAAACTAAGCAAATACAAAAAAATATAAATTACGCGAGTGGAAAGATATTAACCAAGCTAGGTCTCAAGAATAAAGTCTATAGAAGATTAAATATTCAAAAAGATAAATTTAAATCATACTAAAGGAAACATATTCAATACATTGTAGTTTTCTACTCATAATCGCTACAATACCTTGTGTTTTGCTAGTGAACATGCTGGAAATAATTTAGTTTCAATCAGGGGCGGACCTAGAGCATGGAATACGGGTTCCCAGGAACCCAGTAACTCTTGCGTAAACCCTGTATTATATTAAAAAGTTTACTAAATAATTATAAATATCTAACTATGAACCTGGTTATTATTGCATATTAATTTGAAATTACGGTAGGAACTCATAAGCCTCAAATCCCGGATCCGCCTCTGGTTTCAATAGGAGTAGCATAATAGATTTGGGAATTAGGATTTTAAGTTTAATTACTTGTTGGCTAGTAACTATTTCATAATTCCAAGGTCTCGAAATTTTTTTATGCATTATCATTTTTAAACATAATATATAAATATATTTTTCACATTGTAAATTTATTCGGTTCGGTTCGGTATTTTTACCCTAATTATCGGTTCAGTTATATATTTATATAAAAACCTACAGTTTTATTAAAAGAAACCTAAAAATCGGTTCGGTACAGTATGGTTCGGTCGGTTTAGTCGATTTTTAAATATCTATTAACACCCCTAGAGCTAATTTATAAGGGTCCATTACAACAAAATTCTTTTTCTGTTTTTTTTTAAAATGTGTTTATTTATGAAATTTTGTAAGTTTTTAATAAAAAATTAAATTTTTTTTTTCAAAAATCAAAAAGTGATTTTGATCACTTCTTCAAAACTTTCAGAATTTTTGTTTTTTCCACTCACAAAACTACAACATTCTCTGAAGTAAAATGCATATCCAAACACAAATTTAAATTCTAAATATTATTTTTCAACTAACTCCAAATACTATTTTTTTTTCAAAAATTAAAAAATTTATGTCCAAACGCCTGCTTAAATTTTAGGGGGTAAGGGAGAGGCAATGTATTTTTTTATCATTATCACCTCAATTTGTTTATTTAGCACTGAAATGAAATTATCAACGTAGATAATTGGTTGTTTAATTGATCATTTGTTATGATCTCAAATTGTCGTTATTTTCCAGTGTTCACACTTCACACACGCACTTCCGTCTTTGCTCCGTCGCTTCGTCTGCAATTCGCATGAAATGTCACTACGTCAATGGATGAACAACGTTCGAGTCTCCCAAAGAGCAAGGTGGGAAGTTCTTGGAGGCAAGCATGCCGGGTTCTATTTGGAAACAGTCTCTCTACTCTAGGTCAGGGTAAGTTCTGTCGTACACACTACCCTCCCAGACCCACTAAGTAGAATTATAGTGGGTTGTTGTTGTTGTTGTTTTCAATCGACGAACACCACCATTACCGCCACCTTACCATTCTCGTCACATCCGCCATTTGCAGCCGTCAATTACCAAATTCCCAATCACGAAGCGCCACGTGTCGCTCGCTGTTTCCTCCTATGACAGAATGATTTCGGAGCGAATCGAATCCGAAAAAATGGACTACCTTTTATAAAATCCTCCAGTTCGTACTCCATTTCGCAAAAAAGGATTTGTTCTTTTGTTTTATTCCTGGTTTATGTGGTTATCGAATTTTACATCTTTTTTTGCTGGCGCACTTTCTTCAATTGATATTCTCTTTTTTTGCAATTTCACGGTTGAGAATTCATATTCCATATCGAAGAATCAATATAATTTTGACTAATTTTCCGCTTTTGCCCATTTCGTCTCTGTATAAATACCAGAATAAGTTGATGAGATTATCAAGCTGAGATCGACTCTTTTTCTAAGCAAGTAAACGAGGTTTGTTTCTCTGTCTTTTACTACTCAGTTTCTTAGCTGGTTAAATTCTTGATCATTATGATTTAAGTTGAATATGAAATTCTACTATTAGGCATGCAAGTTTGTAGTTTTTATTTTTATTTTCATTTTATTGTATAAGTACATGATCCGATATGCCGTATACACATGCATGTCATTCTTTGAACTATTAGTGGCAGCTGTGTTTTATGGATCCTTCTAGTCTGGGCGGATTTTCGCCGAAAAATTACATTGTATATATAAGGTAAAATTTATTTTTTACCTCTATATATTAAGTTTTGAACCCGCTTAACATAATCCAAAAGTGTAGTTTAGTGGTCAAGGGGTTCAAAATCTACATAACGTCATGTGTTCAATTCCCACTAGCTACAATTTTTTTTTTGAACCCCCTTCGTGGAGATCCTGCCTCCGCCACCGCTTCTAGTATCCGTGTTAAATGAGTTTGATATGAAGATTTGTCGAAGTATCCGTGCTAAATGATTTTGATATGAAGATTTATCGAAAAACTACACCAGCCGAATAGGTTATTTACACACCGTAATGGATAGATACATGTGAACCAGCATATGTAACATAAAGTGGTAGTCATATTGTCTTTGTGATCATTGTGAATGGTAATATTCATTTTTATTCTATTTTGAATCTTAGTTTATTTTTCTGATAATCAGCTATAGTTTTTCTTGAACTCTGCTTTGTGTGATATAATTATCCGCTACATTTCTGCTAGTACGTAAATGATATCAGGTCGACACAGGACGTGATCACTTATGATCAGCTAATGATTGCTTTGGGTTGAAAAAACTGGATAATTACTGCATCTAGATTCTTTAATGAACTGCACATATGACTCAATTATGCAGATATAGTGTTATACCTGAATGGCTTCAGATTGTTGTCGACTCAAATCTCCTTTTTGTTTACCTTTATTTTTTTCAGCAGGACCTCTTGGGGCTTACTTTGTAATCTTAGCTTCGATTCATAATGGGATTTGATGAAAGTCAGCAGACTGATCCACGTAAGACTCTCTTTCCTTTATATATATACTTCAAACTAAAAAAGAAAGACGGAGATTTAAATTGAAGAACTGTGGATATTTTAGCTAAATCATTTCTTATTTTCATTTTAATTTTAGCAGTTATGAGAGTAAATAAGTGGAATTTGCATGCCTTATTTTCTGTCAAATTAGTTTTGTTGATAGTTTCGTTCTTATCAGGAGTTCTAGCAATCACAGTATTTTATAAGACTTAGCTTTTTGAAATGAGATTATACTGATGAATGCTAACTGATTTATTGTTTTCATGTGCTTGTAGTGGTTGTGATACGCAATGGAAAAGAAATCATATTGCAGGTGATATTATTTTCCCTTTACCAGTTGGCTAGGAAGAAATTTTAAAGAGTTTGTAGTTCATATATAACGATTTGTTGAAATCGGAATGCTGATGCATTTCTTCCTAGAAAAGATCATCTCAAACCTAATGAAATGGTCCAATCATTTCCTCTGCAGGCCTTCAACTGGGAATCTCATAAACATGACTGGTGGAGAAATTTAGATAGAAAAGTTCCTGATATTGCAAAATCTGGCTTCACAACAGCATGGTTGCCTCCAGCAAGTCAGTCGTTGTCTCCTGAAGGTTTGGAAGTGATATAATTTTAGTCATTTGAATTAATGTCTCTCCTCTCTTTCAGCTCCTCTTTTGATAGTCATTAATTCTTTCTCTTTGTGTTCTTTCATGATAGGTTACCTTCCACAGAACCTTTATTCTCTCAATTCTTCATATGGTTCTGAGCATCTCTTAAAAGCTTTACTTAATAAGATGAAGCAGTACAAAGTTAGAGCAATGGCGGACATAGTCATTAACCATCGTGTTGGGACTACCCAAGGGCACGGTGGAATGTACAACCGCTATGATGGAATTCCTTTGTCTTGGGATGAACATGCTGTTACATCTTGCACTGGTGGACGGGTAAGGATACTGTAACCAAAATCTTGTTTCTAGGATATGCAGCTTTAGACTTTTATTTATCCTTTCGTCTGCCTCAACTTGATCAAAAAATTAATTAATTAATTTATTTTTCTCTAGTATAGGATGTATAGGTTTTTCATGAACTCTTTGATTTTAGCTAGAGTGGCATGGACAGACCCCTTTCCTGGGAAGGATCTTGAAGCTGTGATGTCTACATTATCAAAAGCATGAACTGTATATAAACATATTAAGCTTGATTCATGTTCATTTATGCATTAGCCTTACTAAAATCAGCATTTCATCAGTAATTTATAAATTATAGGAACCGAACTTGCTGAATTAGCTGAACCTTTGAGTAGCTTTGCTATATAATCATTTCTCAATGACGAAATAAAGATAGTTTGAGATCCTCAACTAAAACTTAAAACTCCTCTTTAATTCCATTATATATTGTTATTGACTCTTCATATCTCTAACCGTTAGAGAGTCAGTGTTATTGCTCAAATGACATGCTTGCCTTCCAAATAGTCATTTAAGGTGAAACTTTATCTATAAGGCTCTCTGCGACCAGAGGTTTCTCAACCATGAGGGTGTACTCATAACTTTTAAGGATGTATTCCAGGGTAACAAAAGCACTGGAGACAACTTTAATGGAGTTCCAAATATAGATCATACACAATCCTTTGTCCGAAGAGATCTCACTGACTGGATGCGGTGGCTAAGATCCTCTGTTGGCTTCCAAGATTTTCGTTTCGATTTTGCTAAAGGGTAAATTTGCACTTTCTTTCTGAAGTTCTCCATGTAACCTCCCCCCCAATGGCTGGATTTTCATTCTATTTTTTTTCGATTACTGTCTATCCATTTGTAACAACAGCTGAATTTTCCTTCTCTCAACTTTAGTTATTCTCCGAAGTATGTAAAGGAATATATCGAGGGAGCTAAGCCAATATTTTCAGTTGGGGAATATTGGGACACTTGCAACTACAAGGGCAGCTATTTGGATTGCAACCAAGGTATTATGCTTCTCTAGTGAATTTTTACAACCGACTTTCCCCTGCAACTTATAAAGATATCTCTCCATTTAGCTGGTACCTGTAGTCGTTCCCGTACCTTGTTTGCTCTCTGGCGAGGGAGATTGGCATTAACTCAGTTTACATAGACCCAAAGTATATAGGAGTAAATGTTTGATTAGTTCAACTCACAGTGAAATGAAATATATTCATCTTTCTAACATTTGGCTACACTGATGTGCAATTTCTTTTGGCAAGGAAAGACAACAAGCTTTTAACCACGGCAGCAAGAGAACTTAATTATATGAAACTGGGTTCATGCAGTGTCATAATTAAAGGTCTCAAACTCTTAAAACCTGTTAAGCTCCACCACAAGAAAAGAAAAAAAAAAGAGAAAAGGAGAAGTGAAAAGGGCAATAAAGAAAAGGACTATAAAACGTTATAGACAATGCTTATGAAGTGCCTCAACAAAGTCACTTTACTGACAGAAAGCTAATATCGTGATACATGTTTCACAATCTTCTTAAATCATCACTGTTGAGTTTAAGTGGTATCATGATCCATGTTTCACAATTTTCTTAAATCATCATTGTTGAATTTATGTGGTAATGGAGGCTGCACTTGTTTTGCCATAGTGCATAAGTGATGGCTAATTAGAAAATTGGGCTTAATTTTTTACCTTTACTGCTATGTCTTTTCTTGAATTTTGGTTGCCAAGTGCCATTTATCCAGTAACATGAAGCATGTGTGGAGGCAGAGCATATACGTACCTTGCTTCTCCTGTTCTAGGGTGTCTTTGTTTTGTCTATGTACTAAGATAGCTATCTTTGTTACGTGCAGATAGTCACAGGCAAAGAATCGTCAATTGGATTGATCAAACGGGGCAACTTTCATCTGCATTTGATTTTACAACCAAAGCAATCCTTCAGGTATCCCTTAAGATCCTAAAACAAACAGTGGCCCCTCTTCTCCCCATATTTAGTATCTAAGACAACATGTATAAGTAAATCCAAATGAATTATTAATGACATGTTTATATTTCTTGTTAAAGGAACTTATTCAAAGATTTGTCTGTGATTCAACGAGTATATACCATAAATTAGTGCTAACCATTATATTATGTATATGCATTTGCAGGAAGCAGTCAAAGGAGAACTCTGGCGTTTGCGTGACTCTAAGGGGAAGCCACCAGGAGTTCTAGGATGGTGGCCTTCAAGGGCTGTGACTTTTATTGATAATCACGACACTGGATCCACTCAGGTTCTTGATGTTTTCTGATCTATAGCTGATTATTAGTGTTGCTTTGGTTTTGGACGCTTGACTTCCTATGCTACACGACTATTCTACTGTATAATTTCATTATTGCAGTAACATAGGTTAATGAATTTACCATTGATGCTTCTCTCTGCTGGTAGGAATACCATATGCTAGATTATGAAATGATTCACTCTTTTGATCTGTGTTAAAGTTATCATCTTGGATCATTTACTATCTTTGATGTTTTTCTAATCATGGAAACTGAACTTATGTTCCCTCATTACTTAACTAACTTAATGATCTCAACTTGCAGGCACACTGGCCTTTCCCTTCAAATCACATTATGGAGGTATTTCGACATCTAATTCATTACCTTTAAATGCTTGACTTGTGACCTTTATTTCTTTTTCATTGGTTGTATTTCCTTCACTTGTTATAGTTTAGATATTTACTCCTCTTTCTAGCCTGTAAGCTACTATATTTTTTGCCAACAATATCTTCTTCAGCAGTACTATACAAGTGTTTAGATCTTATTTTCCTGATCATCTATTGTGGCATTTGGTCTCATCACTGCGCCTCATTCCAGGGCTATGCGTACATTCTAACACATCCAGGGATACCATCAGTTTTCTATGACCATTTCTACGATTGGGGTAATTCCACGCATGACCAAATATTTAAGCTGGTATGTCAAATCTAATTATAACTATATAGACACGAAGTCAGTAAACAGTCGAAGCTGGTTGATTCTAATGCTTGAAATGTACCCTGTAGATTGATATCCGAAGGCATCAAGGCATACACAGCCGTTCATCTGTACAGATTCTTGAGTCACAACCAAACTTATACGCTGCAACCATTGGAGAAAAGGTTAGCATGAAGATCGGGGACGGATCATGGTGTCCTGCAGGCAAGGAGTGGAAGCTTGCAACCAGTGGCTATCGCTATGCAGTCTGGCAGAAGTAATAAGTAGAGCATAGAGCTATTCCCTTTCTCAAAAATATTAGACTAAATATACATGTCTCGAGCCCGTCACCTACTGCTAATACTAGATCCGCCTCTAAGGGTAGGATGGAGAGATAAGAGTGTTTTTCCCATTCATTAGAAATTTTAGCATGGGATGTAGCATTACTAATAAGAGTTCTTGAATACAATGGAATAAGGGAGTTTATCAATTCAATTATTGTTTTGTACGAGGGAATAGTCTCATTTCATGTAACGATATTAAAGGGGTTTTTTTTGGCTCTCTGCTTTTATGTTAGGATAATAAGAAATTATAGTTGTATTTTTTCTCGTATCACAAGATAAAATGCACGTGCTGCTTGGATCCTGTATGAACACGAGATGCTTTATGCACCGGGTTGCTCTTTTGAAAGCCAACCTTGGCGAGACGATAAAAGTCGCCGCCATGTGATCAGAAGCTCATGGTTCAAGTCACGAACAACCTCTTGCAGAAATACAAAGACCGCATAGATAAGATTCAATGCGGTTCGATCCTTCTCTAAACTCCGCACATAACGAGAGCTTAGTACACCATTCTACAAGCTCTGTACTCATTACTTTGTTGCAGATGAGATTCATAAGAAGTGAATTTCTCTGCTTTTGGGTTAGATATGAATCTACTGTCTTCTATAATTGTAAGTTATAAGGCTTTAAATAATTGAAGTTTTCCATATTGTACTATTCCTAATAGAAAATCTTTCGTTATTCCTATCTCCAACAAAAATATTTAGAATTTTTAATGACAGTGATTAACTGAAATGAAGTAAAATTATCCAAAAAGTGGACGAGAAGGGATCACATGGCGTTGTGTCAAAAAAGATAGAGATTCCTCACATCACTATCATAGCAATAGTCATACTTCTCATGATTTATGTCTTGAAACTCAAAGACCCCATCAACATCTCCATCTCCATTTGCAATACTCCTCCTTCTCACTTTTTATTACTTTTAATTTTTAATATAACAGTTGTGTTTGAGTTAACTCGTGATTTTATTATTCTATTAAATATTTGTTACTATTTTTTTTTTTAAAACCTACGACAGCTTTTGTATTTTTTGCTTCGGTCGTCAGATAGGTTTACTTGTTATTGCCCTTTCCCTCTCCCCTTTCTAAGTCGAGAGTCTATCGGAAAATGTCTCTCTGTCTTTTTACAGGCAAGGATAAGGTATGCGCACACTATACCCTTCCCAGACCCCACTTATAAGACTATACTGACTATGTTGTTGTGTTGTTGTATCTGTTACTACTTTTTATCAACGTCGCAAACAACAAATAATCTATCAAAACTTAAGTACTATTACCAAAACATAGAAATCACCTCGCATTCTTTTTGGGTATTATCACTTTTAGCCTGAGCCAAAAAATATTTATATTTGGTAGCCGAAAAAATAGAGTATAAAATTTATATAAACTTTGTATATAACATATAATATATATATATATATACACAAAAAAAATACATAAAAATTATATATTTTTACGGCTATTATTTTGAGAGCGACCTTTTTCTTCTCACCGTACCAAACTTCTCTCTTTTTTTTTTTTTTTTTGCCTTTTCTTCTCTTTTTACCAAACAACAGACCCAAAACAGCATAATTATAGTAATTATTTTCCATTTCTCACCGTCTCTCTATCACGTGATGCACACTATTTGAAATACTATTATCCATGATCATTTGAGTAAAGTAGTCTATTTTAGTCATTTGATTATTTCTCCCCTAGTTTCTATTCCCAACGTCATTTTTACCTTATCATATATCTATAGTCTATAACCAGTGGCGGAGGCAGGATCTCCACGAAGGGGGTTCAAAAAAAAAAAATTGTATCTAGTGGGAATTGAACTCATGACCTTATGTAGATTTTAAACCTCCTTGACCACTAAATTACACTTTTGAATTGTGTTAAGGGGTTCAAAATTTAATATATAGAGGTAAAAAACAGATTTTGCCTTATATATACAGTGTATTTTTTCGGCGAAGGGGGTTCGGGTAACCCTTTGCGCCCCCTAAATCCGCCCCTGTCTATAACTCAACTTTATCACGGTACACTATCAAAGAAGTTTATTCTCCTTAATCATAATTTACCTAGGGTAAAATGTCAAGATATGGAACATATAGGGTTGAAAATTTTGTGCCCTTTTGGTTAAGGAAAATACTGCAAACATTTTGCCAAAAATCAAACACAACTTGTTGATCTTAAAAAAACATTTTAATTTACGGAAAAGGGTTCAAAATGATTGAAAAGGTTTTAAAATAACCTTTATCCATTTATTGGGCTAAAAATACTCCTCCATCCACCTTTTTGGTTCACTTATGCTCTTTGACCGTTAGGTCAATGCTGAATTAAAAATAATTACTTAAAAAAAATATTTTGCAAAATATTTTCAACAAAATATTTTCGTTTTTGAAATATATTTTTTTTCATTTTTTTTAAAAAAAACAGTTTTTAAAAACAAAAATATTTTGTTAAAAAACGATTTTTTTTTTCAGTTTTTACAAATTTATTTTTCCAGTTTTTACAAAAAAAAAAAATCTTTAAAAAATGAAAAAAAATATTTTTCTAAACAAAAATATTTTGTTGAAAATATTTTTTTCAGTTTTTAAAAAACGAAAATATTTTTGTTAAAAACAGTTTTTTTCTGTTTTTACAAAAAATGCTTTAAAAAACTGAAAAAATGAAAACAAAATATGTTTTCGTAAAAACTGGAAAAAAAAGACTTTACTAAATTAGTGGACTACTGTTACATTATTTAAAAAATAAAAATATTTTATAATTTTTTTTTAAGTAATTATTATTAATTCAGCATTGACCTAATAGTTAAAGGGCATAAGTGAACTAAAAAGATGGATGGATGAGTATTTTTAGCCCAATAGGTAAATGTAGGGTCTTTTTAAACCTTTTCCAATAGTTTAAGAGCATTTTAAACCTTTTCCGTTTAATTTAATATCCACAATATTTTCCAAAAGCAAAAAGTAACATAACTCAAGTTTTTTCAACAATTAACTCAATGAAGGTCTTTTTGGTAACTTCTCGCTCGATCGAAAGGATATAACACATAAGAAATCTTAGTTTCGCCGACTTTACGAGGTATAACTTTTGTCATGACATTAGTGGCTTAACTCTTCGCGCTATACCATCAAGGCGTACAGTAGCGAAATAAATGCTTGAGATCACTCTAACTTTAATCAAAAGTTTAATTTAAATTTTGAAAACGAAATATTTCTTAGTAAGGAGTATTTTTTATTACTCAATAGGACTATACGGCACAAACTTAGATTAATCAAATTAATGAGTTTCGATACAGGAAGCCCTAGATACTTAGACAACTCAAATGCCATAGATCTTTGATAATCAAAAAGGCCGATATTAAGGGAAAGATTAAAAAAATAATGACAATTCATGTACGTGAGAACTTATTGTTTATGGTAAATTAGTAATTCATATTGTTTTATTTTAAATTTTTTGAAAGTAATTCTCATATAGGGCAAAAATCACGTGCTCACAAACAAAGCGAAACATTGTCAGCCTTTAAATCTCGAATCAATATAAAATCCATTTTACTGAAGCCAGCAAATCTTGTTCTTAATTGTTTTTAAGAAATAAAATTACATGCAGAGTTACATCATGTTTTATCTCGAAGTTGAAGATGCTCCTAAATCTATACTCAAGTAGAATATTAAAATATAATTTATCTGCACTGCATGCATGGCTTCTTTAAATTAATGGCACCACTTTTTGGGCAACTCCTAATCATTATCTGCACTAAATTGGGAGGATAATTTCAAGTACCAGTTCTTTGTCATATATTATTTAATTTATTTATGAGAAAAAATAGAGTAAACGAATAAAAAAGTAAGAGCTGGTAACCTAATTCTCTTTGTCGGTCAACAACCTTTTTCGGAATCACAAAATTAGGGGTGTACGAAGAAAAAACCGACAAACTGCACTAACCCAATAATTCGAGTCAAAACCGAGAGAAAAAATCCGATTATGATTTGGTTTGATTTGGTTTGGTGTTGGAAAAAGAACCTTATCATAATTGGTTTGGTTTGGTTTTAGCTAAAGAAAGTCAAACCGAAACTAAATCAACTCGACATCACGTATATAGAAATTTTAGATGTATTTAATATATAAATATACTTCTTGTGATGTAATTTATAAATATTTCTTAAAAAATTTCATAATTTTATCTTTTAAGGTATTATTTCAAGGTTGGACTTAGAACTTTTTGAATGTTTCAATAAGTTTTATAGCCATTAATATTAGGAAATTAAATAATGCTAACAAAAGCCCAAACCAAAATCAAATCAATATTAATGCTAATAAAAGACATTCAATTCAATACTACGAACCGGAATGTATTGAATATCTATTTTTTTGTTTTGCAATAATTTAGATAAAAATGCATAACCTATATATTTTTATTTTTTCTTTAGCGTTTAGTCATGTAATTAATACTTACTTATTAGTCCACTTATTTTAGCATGACTTAGTACTTTTAGATTATGTTATTTTTATTATAACTTTTTAATTAACAATATTTATATTACATAATTTTATTGTTTTTATTGTTGAATATTTTAGAATAATGTCATGACAAATATCATATTTTGTATTATTTTCTTGGAAAATACTTTATATAGTTGTATCTTACTAGGATTAAAGAAATATTTGAGCACACAAGTTATATGTTTTGTTCTACTAAAATTTTACTGGAAAAAAACCCGAATAACCCGAAAATCCGAGAAAAACCGAGATTGAAAAATCCGAGTTTTATTGGTTTGGTTTGGTCTTTAGATTTAATAATCCGACACAATTAGTTTGGTTTGGTAATTGTAAAATCCGAACCAACTCAACCTACGTACAACCCTACGCAAAACAATGTCACATAGGCATATACCGATTACAATTAAGGAATTTTTACATACTTATAGACTATTGAAAATTTTATTATCCTCTTTACTCAAGTTTCAATTTAGTTACCTCTTATATACAAATTTACAAATTATACACACTTTAGAAATTAAATGAGTACCCCTTTATAGGAATCAATTATTTCTCATTCTTATTCTCTCTTCCTCATGCGCTCTCTCTCTCTCTCTACGTCTCTCTCTATCTCTCAATCCCTAATTCCAGTAATGTAGAGCAAAGGAAAAGAGAGCAGCAATTCCACCATTGACGGTCATTAAAAAGTTTTGAAACTTTGAATTAATTCGAATTTAGATTTTCAAAAAATATTATTTGTTTGAATTGGGTGGTGTTGCAAACAATTGGAAATTTTCTC